CCCCAAAACCCCAAAACCCCAAAACCCCAAAACCCCTTTTTCATTTGTCGAATTGAGTTATTTTGAGTTAAATTTCAGTGTCACATTATTCATTGAAGTTTGCAACCTGCTTCAGTGAGCTCATAGAAAAAGTATGATGATTAGGAATATTTGCACTTGATTCTTGCTCTTCATCCCACACATTCATCATTCTATATGCTTCTTGGTATTGAACATTTTTAGATATTTGAGGCTGGAATGTGCAACCTATGAGTTCTTCATCATTTTTGATCCTTCGTTGCTCATCAATTTTGGCCTCAGCTTCTAATCTTTTGCTCATGAGGACATCAGCGATATCATTTCCGCTAGCTCGAGTCTTTGCTGCTATTTTTAGAGAATTTGTATTGAGCTGAGGATGGAAGGTATATTTTGCATCACTATTATCTTTTTGAATGCTCCATTTATCCTTCATAAGAAGTATCATGTTCTTGTCTGGCAACTTTAGAGTGTCATATAACCTCATAGAAGCATCGATGAATTCTTCAAGGTCAAGAGTATGCTCTAATTCTTCCATTTCACACAATAGAGGAGTGAAAATTTCAAGAATCTCTGGTGGAAGCGCTGAGATATCAATTTTTTCAGCTGATATTTCGCCATCTCCATCAACATCAAGACTCTGGAAGATCTGGTGAAATTTTCTAGCTTTCTTTTGTTCAAGAAGTTCCTCTGATTTATCTTGAATTTTGTGTCTATTTGCAGAATGATTTCGCCGATCCCATTCCTGTTTTATTTTCTCTTCTTTCTGGTGCTTCCTCTTTTGGCCTTCTTGGTAGAGTTTCTCTGTGACAGGCATATTTTCATAATCTCTTTTGGCCAAAGGAGGTCTTCCGGTTCTCGGCCGAAAGAGAGGCTGCCCAGTAGTTTTATCGTAACATTGGTCTTGAAGATGCATTATTTTTGATTTTTCCTTTCTCGTAGAAGGTTTAGAGAGCCTTTCTGCAAAATTACCAAAATCTTCAGGGTAGTATCCATCGTAGTGGTTTCCTTTACTGACATCTGGCTGGAAGGTACATTCTGAATCGAGACATCTCGAGTAAATTTCATCTTGTCTTTGCATCCGCTTCATTGCATCATCATACAAAAGATTGAATTTATTGAGTTTATTACCAGAAGTCATAAATGAACCCTCGAATTCTTGTGAGAAGTTGGGAGATTCAGCCATTCGAGAACTCTCTTCTAGGAACTGCCTTGATCTTTCTTGAATAATTCTGTCGCTTTTCTTATTAATATGAGGACGGAAGCTATATCGGTTTTGCTGTTCAAAGAGAATCTCGCTCCTCTTTTTCTCAATCATATCATGAGTTTTCTTCCCCTTCTCGATGAGCTGGTCTTCAAGTCGTTTGGAGTTCCTTTGAAATCGCTTGGCAGAGGAATTGATTTTAGGTTGAAAAGTCAGACTTTCGTATTGCTTGAGTTCATTCTGGATTTTCTCGCGTTTGGCTTTTCTTTCCTTTTCTTCCATTCTATTTCAGACCATTTTGGTATAGTTTCTCGCCGATGTTGTTAGAGGTCTTCCTTCGGTCGGTAAAAGGCTTGCTGATCATACCTCGCTGGGGCTTTTTGGCTGATTTAGGAGGTCTAGAAACATTCTGAGCAATAGAACTAGCCTCATAACTGATATTAGAGGCTTTACTTCTGTTAGATTTCTGTTTTTGCTTCTGAATGGCTTCAGAGTGTAAGCGAGAGTAGACTGAATCTCGAGTCGCTTTCTTCTTGTGGGCACGCGAGAAGTTGTTAGAGTTAAAATTTGACTGATTTGGGGTATAGTTGTTTAGAGTTGTGAATGATTTGTTTGTCTTGATCTTGCCATTTCCTTTCTTTTTGTTTGGTAATGTTCTCTTATCCCCTTTGTTAGGGTTTATGAGTATTGGTCCAGGAGTTGAGTATGAGTGTTTATCTGCTTTTTGAGAGGAAGTGTTGTTATAGTTGATTTCTGCATCATTGGCATATATATTTTGCTTTGGAGTTGGTTCTAAGCCAGTAGAAATATGTTCCATTTGAGCGCTATCAGAGTGTATAAATTTCTCATTTTGTAAATTATCATTCTCAAATCTTTCATCTTGAGATTCCTCTTCTTCATTTTCATTCATCTCATTCAGAGCTTGCTCTATATTTTGCTCTATCTGCTCAGTGAATAATAACCTGAGCTCGTCATTCATATCATATTTATTGCAGAACCTTTCTGCAACTTCGTTTGCTGTTTCTCCTTCCATAATTACGATATTTTCTTGCTGGTCATTGCCAATCTCTACTGTAATTGTCAGGAGTTCCTTTTCTTCAGGCTCATTAAAGTCTTGGGCTGCAAAATAACCTTCTCTGTTGCCATGAGGATAATTTGGGATATCATTATCAAAATGATCGGCCCTGACCTCATTTTCTACATAATTTCTTTGGTCAAATTTCGAGCTGGCTTCATCAGACTCCCCAGAAATATTCTCAGTCTCACTGTGAATCCATCTTTGGTCATTATCATGCTTTTGGAGGATCTCCCGAGCATTCTGCTCAAGAGCTTCAGGGTGATCATACATACTGATTGAATTTTTGTTACTGCTTGAATTTGGATAATGCATTTGTTCTTCCTCGTAGTATTCTTGGTAATCATTTTGGTCTTCTTCTGGCTCATCTTCGTATTCGTAGGACCCAAATTGCTCGCCTTTTCTTGTGTTTATGGGGTGATTTGCCCCAATTTCTACTCTGTTCATTCAAAAATAGAAATTAAATTTTTAAATATATTCTATAAAAATCAAGAGATTAGGGGTTTTGGGGTTTTGGGGTTTTGGGGTTTTGGGGTTTTGGGG